TTTGAAAGCAGCAAAATGCACATTATAAAGTCAGTTTTAAAATGTTTCAAAAGAAATTTTTGGTCCTTGGCAGATTGTGTAAGTGTGTCTATGAAGAGCAACCATAGATATGTAATATGTAAAAGTATAAGGCAAAAGTGCTACTGACTGAGGATCTGTCAAGAGTTGTCAGGATCAAGTGATTGCAGTCATGACAGATTTATCAAAGTCACATGAAATAAGCATCTTGGGTGAAGTCTCTTTAAAGAGTGGTGACATGTCTTGAATAACAAGCCAGCCTGTTCTGTTGCTTTCAGTGAATTACTTTGAGGTTTCTATATGAGAAAAGTGAAAAACTAGCGCTGCTTTTATGACCATCTATCTGAGTAGTGCACCATTCTGCACATTTCTAGTGTGCCTGGCAGAGCCTGTGTACCTTCATTTGATTTCAATCCACTTGAAGCCCAGAGTGGCGTGTGCATTTGAAGGCGGGAACTAAAGCATTCATCTGAGAGGGGAATAGCTGCAGACGGGCTTCGACTCATTTGATTAAAGTCTGTCGGTGGAGGTGTTGGAATGTGAAAGCCAGGCAGTGGTGTGAGAAACATCAATTCCCTTTTTTCCCACTGCTTCAGGCTGTTAGTTGACTGGAATCCAAATAAAATAAGCCCACTTTAATGGACTGAAGAGGATAAATTTGGTTTCTTGTCCTCATTCCCTCTGTTTGATACCATTTTCACAAGGAGACTAAAAGACTTAAGATTCATTTTAAAAGGAATCGCCTTTTTTTTTTCTCTGTCTCTCTATTTTACAGCGGTCAGACAACAACTACCTATTTTTCCTCATAAATATCTTAATCCTTGCAGGAGGGGAACCCTGTGCTGAAGTCTAAATTTGGATCAGATGTGTGTACACGCTGTCAGAAGGCTACAGAGGTGCAACTCCTGAATATTTCACTCACTGAACACCGCCCACGCAGAACTAAGTGCCAGATCCTTAGAAGGGTCCTGCTACAGTAACTTCTGACAAGTGCAATGTCGGTTTTTTTGAAGCAGCTTACATGTCTGACAGCAGTGTGGTCCTTTGTGAATCAAGTACATTTCTTTTTCTTTTTTTGAAAACAAACTGCAGGGATGCATCATATCGGCCTCACTTTCCTGAACCAATATTTATCGACAAGTTAAAAGGGTTTTTGAGTGTAAAGGTTAACGGTAAGCATTTTCAAGAACACACTATTTAAACCCCCATGTAGATTTATTTAGAATTGCACAAGGTCAATCCTTTGCAGCATGTAGGTAAAGAATTGGCTTCAAAGCTCAAAGATGTGCAGTGAATTCTCCTTTTTCCCTTTCTCCCCCTCCATTTACAGGCTGTGGCTGCGGTCGCCATGATAAATGGTGTTTACGTTCCCTGAGGCCGAATTGTATATCAGGACCTGCTGCATGTACTGAGGTTCAGATATAACAAAAGTAACAGCTGTGGAATACAGCGCCATCCAGTATAACAGCACTACAGACTGCAGCCTTAACATACAGTTGAATCAATTTTTTCTGATTCAGTCCCAATAAAACCTGACAAATGTAGAGTTTGGTTTCATTACATAGCACGAGTGTAGCTCCCATTGTTTTCACCCCCTATTTGTATGTGAGGTAAGTTAAAGAAGCTGTGCTTTGGTATGTGATTTTGATCTTTCTGCCTCTTTTCTGGGACATTTTGTATCATTGATTTTTTTTTCCCCTTTAACACATCTGTTCAAAAAGTCCTCTCACGATGGTAAAACAGTTGTCTAAAATATGTCAACATCTGTAGGATGGGTGAGCATGATATTTTGCACACACAGTCATGTCATGGTCCCTTAGGAATGAGGCCGACTAACAATTGTGACTTACCTCTAGTGCCACCACTGGGTTCACTTAAAAAACAAAAAGTTTTAACAGTGATGTAAAGAATGTTAACTGCACCTTGACTGATTGGCGGGCACACACGACTGTGAGGCAGTATTTCTAATTTTTGAGATTAAATGTCTGGAAGATTTGTGGTTAAAATGCTGCAGAATTTAGCACTGAGATTTACAGTTGTGAACAAAGGCTTACCTACGCTAAAGACTGTGTATATTTCTTTACATGTTTCTATGATGGAATCATTAAAAATCCATCTGTCTGTTGCAAAAAAACAAACAAACAAAAAACCCCCACACACATTCTTTTTTTTCTGTGAACCTACTGTTGTTAGGGGCATGGCCTCTTAACGTCTCGTGAGTGATTACGAGAGCTGCTGGTGACTCCTTTGAGCTCCTTTAAATATGGAAATTGGATTAACACAGCTTTTTACATCACCAAAGCTGATCATTTAGGTTACTAGTTTTACATTTTTGACCCAACAGATTTCATCATGTTTCCAGAAGCCCAGAAGGACCCAAATGCAATAATGTTTTATTTGTTTGTTTGGTGGTTTTTTGTGAGAAATGTTTTTCAATGATTCCATCATGGAAAATTCTGAGTTAAAGGAATCATTGAAAACTCAAAACTGCAGTGATATACATGATCTTTAGAAGTGTAAGTAAACTTTTGTTCACAACTGTATATTTCCATCAGGATATAATAACTCCCAGAATCCCCTGAGCTTTTCTAGCACCAGCATTAGGTGAAATGATACTGTCATTAAATACTTTGACCAAATACCTTCAAAGTTAAGGATATTCTACTAAACCTCAGCTTTGCTTTGTGTTTAGTGTTTTGAGGCAAATGGTACACTAGACTAAGTAAATGAAACAATACCTGCAAAACGACAGCATGTTGGGACTGTCTCAGAAAAACACTGTGCCTAAGTTAAGACTCTTAAGAACTGCTTAAATGGCTGCAGACTACTCCTTCCATCTTCTAAACTCATTGCTCAACTCCTTATAAACCGGAAGTTACCATCAAAAGGCAAAACTTGGACCATGCATGGTAACGTTTATTCCTGACATGCAAAAATGTACACCACAGAGATGAGAACTGGCACATACAGTATACTGGAAAAGAAACACAGCAATATCTTGAAATGAAATGAAGGTTTGAACTGTTTTACTGACAGAGCAGTGCTTAGGCTAGAGAGTGGGCTCCTGAACCACCAGTTTCAGAGATGGAAAAAAATTGGCATGTAAGAAGTAACACATGGGGGAATCTTTGGATTTTTGCTGCTTTCAGATGTTTGGATAAAGCGATCTTTTGTATGTACAACTATGATTTGGAATGGAATTGGTAAAATGCCTATTTAGCACAAAGCATTGTGCTGTTTATTACTAATACTTGACAGCTTTAATTCAGAATCACTTTCGCTGCATAGTGTAGCTGGTGTTTGACTTGTATGAGCCCTTAAACAACCACTGGAACTCAACAAATGGCATCAATTTAATGCATTTTGTCCAAATGTTTCCAGATTTAAATTTGCACAGGGTAAAAAAACCCAAACCAAAACACATTAATGCCCAAAGAAGCTGAAGATTTGAATAATGCAACAGTGATTTTATCGGTGCTTGGAGCATAAGCCTGTTATATGTCAATACAACAGTCCTGTGTATCCACAGACGGACTTCTTACAGTGAGTTCTCTTTGATAGAAGGATGAATACAGACAATCTGCCGTGCTTGGATTTTAAGGAAAACTTCTTTAAATGCTATTTGTTGTTGCTCAGTCAAACTCACAGACCTCTTCGTTTTACAAAAAAAACCCACAAGTGTGTGTCAGCCTGTTAGGCCCATAGCATGCGTACATATTGCATATATATATTCCCATATAAATACATTTCATACCAATACAAGGAGCGGAAAAGAACGTTCCGTGAAAACGATGGCATTTAACAGTTGACGTATAACAATGTAAGAATGGAAAACTGGGGAGCTACGGTGTAGAAATGTGAAGTGTAAAATGGATTTAAGGAGTACAAGATGAAGGGACATCGACAGAACTGAGGGGGCAGCAGTCACTAAGTCTGGTTTGGTGGTAAAGAATTTAAAGATGTGAGTGTAAAGATGACAGAGGATTTGGCATGCCTTTCAGTCTCTGCCAGAGCAAGGCAAGGTTAAGAGATGTAGGGAAGGAGGGGTGGTCGTGTTAGAGATCACAATCCTCATACATTCTACGGTGGCTGGACTCACATAATGTACACAAATCACTCTTCCATGTGCAAACCTGTTAGCCTCTTGGACTCCTTAATAAGATAAGAAACAACCACTAACAGTCAAAATAAAGGCAGAATTTTGGTTATCTACATTCAGGCATGCAGTTGGTCTCATTTTTTTTCTTTTTTTTTAGTTGAAAAAAAAAGAAGATAATATTTAACAAAAAAATTCTAAATCGTGTTCCCTGACCCCTTTCCGCAAACCCTTGAATTTCCACTGATAATCCAAGTGCTGACAAAGCAGCCATTGTGACAGTCTTAACAAACCCAGCACCACTTGGCATACAAACATTTTATAAAATGTACATATACAATGTTTATATATATATATATATACTCATATATCCATATTTCAAATATATTTGTAGCTGTATATTGTTTGAATGCAGGAGGTTCAGTAAGGAGTATATGAGGATTATACGCAGCTGTCCAAAGTTTGAAGACCAAACCCAGAATTTGTTTTCCAAAGGAGCCTCATCCCACACATTAAAAAGTCTATCATTCCCTCCCTCCTCAGATAATCCTCTTCAGTTTAAGAAGTCCATATTCCAAAAAGAAACATTTTGGAGTCCTTCTGACCACACGCATATCTGCATTTTCTTTTTCCTCTGTTTTAACCCGAGTGATTTACGTCAGGATTTTCATTATTTATGTCAAGCAATTGTTACTGGAATCTAATGCATGCATCTCTGAATGATTTTTTCATTTGTTTACTTGCTGCAAGACCTACTTTCATGAGTTGCCTATTTTTTTCTGCTTTCTGAAGGTGGTCATGATGTAGTTACAATATGGCATAAAAGTTATGGATTGTATTTCATATTTTTTTTTGGAATGGGCTTTGTCTTCTATCCCCCCGCCCCCCCCCCTTGCTGCATCCGTGGTTTGGCTTTCATTTTTCTTCTCAGGTCCTCCATGTCAGTGGGCCACTGTAGAAAAAAAAAGAGAAGAGAAATAATCAAACGTGTTATTTTGACAGGTGTAGCTGAAGTGTTAAAGGCTTTGCCAGCATTTCTGCAAAATTATCCCACTACAGTCCCTGCAGTACCTAATCAATCTACACACACACACACACACACACACACACACACAGCTTGGAAATGTGCTGAGTTTGGACGTAGAAACACATCTCATGCTTGTGTGGTAGTGTCATATATCACCCTGTAATCGTAATGTAGTAGGTATTCTTTATTGTTGAACACTTGTTGTTGAAGCCCAGTGTGTGTGTGTGTGTGTGTGTGTGTATGTGTATGTGTATGTGTGCGCACACATGCACACACATATATCATACATCATTTTCAAATAATACCCATTTGCATATTCATAAGCCACGCTGTAAACATAAAACTTGATTTATGCGCCGCGTGCTGGACACCATTACGTCCGTTTAACACCGCGGTATCTGGGGATTTTCTCCTGCTTGTCCTCGTTTCTGTACCTGAAACCGAGACGAAGACTATGATGACGACCACACCCAGGACCATGGCGACGATGCTGAGCAGGCGAGCCAGTCGACCGAGCCTCTTGGCACCATCCATGTCCCCTGCCTGGAGGCTGTTTCTGGACTGGGGACACACAAAAGCACAGGGTATTTAAAAAAAAACACAACACAAACACACAGTACACTGAACAGAACAGAGGTTTTAGGAAGATCTGAAGGAGGCACAAAAATCTACCTGTTCACTTCTTCAACCACATAAGAATACTATTAGGGTGAACATCTTAAACTGCATCTGCCTCTCCCCACGATAATCTTATTAGTATTGACTTTGTATGGAAATTGCACTATATAATCAAAAGAATAAAACAAAACTTAGTCTTCAAAACTGTGAACCAAACCACACACCTCTGAGTCTGTAGATAGTCATTATTCACATTTCAGAACTCTGCACTGACATTTCATTCATCAATGCAAGCAACCAGCAGCACAAACAAAAATATTTGTTAATGGCAGACAGTGAAAATGTGTGAGAGAAAACACAATCTGAGCTTCCCCAGCAGCTAACCACATCAACACTATTAGCACAATGTAAAAGTAGCAACACAAAATGAGTGATTCACAGTTTGGGTGAATCAGACAAAGAACCTTTTGCTCTACAGTACAGAAGCTCTCTGGTTTACCATTAATCGACATTGAAGCTTTTTTTTTAAAGGGAAAATGACACGTACAACACGGTAATGCTGGCTTGTCCACCGGTGCTGTGGTCCCTTAAGGTAAAACGTCAACTATAACTTATTCCCAGCTGTCAATGGTGAAATTGTCTATTCCAGACTGGCAGATTGGGATTGATGGAAGGATGTGACTTGCAGAGCCAATTGGATAGAGTAGGTGAGTGCAGCGGTGTGAGGGGGCCGTATGTCATTTTAATGCTGTATGTATTTTGCTTTATGTATGCTGCAGATATGGAGACAGCATGATTTATGTGTAGCAGTGTCAGGCACGATGTATGGGAATCCTCAGTCCAGCGTGCGTTGCTTTCACTTGAGCGTCAAAATCAACAAATCTCGCCCGGCTGCCGTCTCGATCTATCCATCGGACTTTCTTTGCCTTTAACTTGATATTCGGTTTTATGTGCTTTAAATTTGTATCATGGTTGTAAAATCACATGCAGGAACGCTGCGCTCATTCACCGTATCTCACAACAATCAATACATGAACACATTAGAAATTCACTGCTATACATGGCCACACGTTAAGAATATCTGCTGTACAGTCTTAAAAGAAATATTCAATACATAGATGTTGATTGCATTTAATTATTTTTTAGGATTTTTCTCTGAGTATTTATTCCATAAATTAATAAATGTAAAGTATTTCTCAGTTGTTAAAAAGTATAAAATAGTGTACTGTACAAAACTGTAGAAGAAATAAGGGATAGCTGGTCTTCTTTGAAATAAACTGACAACATGAACCAAGGTAAAAACTGTTTGAATGAAGTAAATATGTGGAACTGAAAGAGATTTGAAGGTTAGAAAACTCAAGACAATTTATATCTTGTATTTATATGTTATATGCAGGTGCTGCACCCAAAGGATATCCATAATTAATTCATTTAACTAGAATTTATTACAAATTTTATACATTAATTATTGAATCTATAAAATGTTAGAAAATATTGTAGTGCCTATCGCAACAATATAGGGTAATGTTGTTCATAGCACTTGTTTTAGCTGAGCAACACTATAAATAGATTTATAAAAAACACAGAAAAGTAGTGATTCCTTAAACTTTAGGAGCTGGAACCAGAAAATATTGGGTGTTTTTAAATTATAAAAAGATATAAATTAGTGATAAGTAATTTTCTAATAAAGTTAATCATCCAATCTCATCAGCTCCACACAAGTATGCTTACAAAAGTTCATAGTTGAAAGCTGAAAGACCCATGAAAAAATTAACACAGCATGACCAACCATAACATAAGTGGAACAGAGCTGTGCTTCTTTCAGCACTAAACAACAATCACAGGTCAGCGTGAGGAAATACACAGCAACACCGGTGAGTTTGAAATCATACCAGTATTAAGGAAATGTCACTCACTCACAAAATGAGGAGGGGAGGCCATGCCACAAAGCTTACGCTCTAAATTCAAGCCTCCTGTGCGTTAAGGGCGACATGATGCTACCATCAGAGACGGCAGCTGCATCCTTCTGCTCCGGAGCCTGATGAAAACTTCAGGAGCTGTCCACGGTGCTGAACTAGTCTTTTCTACCAGAGCAGGAAACAGCAGGAAATGGACGTCTTCCTGCCCTCATCTATATTGAATTACACAGCTATGTTTTTATAAGTCTCCCTCCCGCATACAGATAGAACAGTATTAACTGCTAACCTGAACATTAAATCACACTTGGACAAAACGTGGCCTTTTAGAACCAGTTCAGGGGACATTTTTATCTAATTATGCACCTTCTACTTTCACCCTGAATCAATTTAAGTACCGTGGGAGAAATCATACCAGAGATGTAACAGAGGGAGTAATGCCATTAAAAAGGGGCAAGAAGTGACTAAACATTATTTCATTCAGAGATTTAGTTGTCTTTCAACAAACAGAAAACAAATACATGATTTGTTTCGTCTAGACTGAATGAGATTCCTTCATAAGAGAGGTATTTTGTATTACACTGCTTTTTATTTCATTTATGACTTTTATTGTATTTCATTTACCTCTCAACTGCTATCAAAAAATCCAAATCAATGCATTTTAAATCTGCCGCTGCCTTGCTCATCCACTCACTCCTCTCTGTACTGAGGGCGCAGAGTTGGGATTGCCTCAGTATCAGATACGATTACACTGCAGAGAGAAAGAAAAGAGAGCTCCAACCCTCCGTCCTCCCTGATCACCTACTAGTTACTTCATCCTCTCGCTCCCATGAGCCTCTCTGTCTCCATGCTGTCTCTGGCAGTCTGATCCCACGGTGCAGGTGGGAGGGGACGGTGCAACCCTGGGGTTTTCCACTGAACCAGGTGCTGTCGGGGTGGAAGCTACTGCTAAATCAGTAATAAGCTCAGTGATGCTTCGGCCTAGTTTTTTTGTTTTTTTTTAAAATGTGAGTTGACGAACAGCGTATTTATGTATTTAAAACGATGTGTGGGTTTTTCATGAGTGGGTTTTCACAGATTGTAACACTCACAGTATGTAGCTTAATTCTTGTTTCTTATGGTAATATTAAATTTTTTGATATTTATTGGGAAATATGCACAAAAATATGATTGTAACTATTTTCTAAGGAATGATGGCAAGTAATCTCTTTACTTTTTTCTTTTTTTTAGAGTTCACTTAATTCACTTTACCTAATGTAATTTATCCAATAGTACAGTAATAGCATAATGATGCCTTTAAAGAGAGTCTTACTAAATTTAACTGACATAAAACAATTTAACTGTACTGGTAATTCTGAGAATAAAAGCCTTGTGACACAATTTTAACATGACCTGAGGTACAAAAGCTAAATCATTGCACCTTTAAATCCCAGCTCCTGACAGTGAAATTAAAATAGGAGTTGTTTTTACCCCCCTCCTTCTCACACACACATTCCAGCTTCTCACTTGCAGTACTGCAATGTGAAGCTGTGGAACAAAATCCCACCGGAGCCCTTTATCGATCAGGACTCACATCACAGAGAAAAGCAACATCAGCACCTTAAATCAATGGACGTCTCTTTCAGAAAACACTGCCTACTTTGCCTGCGCGGAAGAAAAAACATCAATGAAGAAATGGCAGATTTGAAAAGATGATGATATTTCCCATCCGTCAAGAAAAGAGGGAAAGACAGAAACGAGGGGAAAGGGGTCTGTGTCAGCAGTCTTGTTTAATGCCACCCGTTTTGTTTGATGCTAGCCTCGGGGCCTGCTAGAGATTATTGTGTGTGTGTTAGTGTGCGTGTCAGTGGGAGGCACCCTTTGCTTGACTGATTAATGTCTGTATTGATTCGCAGCACAAGTACGGCTGCTCATATTTGTTCTCTGAATGGGAAATTCAACCCTCAAGTGTCTTGACCAGTGTTCATTATGTTACCTCTGTACAAACCAGCCACCTATACACAGGTTCACACGTGTTTCTATCTCTATCCATGTGAGGACCATCATGTCTAACTATATTTAAGATTTGACTTCTTTTAACCCTCAATTTGACCCCATTCAATGTTTAACATCTCTAAATAAGTCATTGATGTTTTTTTTTCAGTTTTATTTAAAGGGCTACTTACACATAAACCTGGGTAACAATTTTAATTATGATATTTTCTGAAGGTTTAAATAGCTGGGGGCAAATTGAACCCAAGGATAAAAGATGTCAGTAAATTTGAAAGTAATAGGAGGGTTAAGTAACTCAGATTGAAATGACACCACGGAATACGTCAAAACAACCAATTCCACAAACAGAATCAGTTCAAACAGTTACAGGCAGGTACTGGACGTTCATTACTAAATTGTCCAGGAGCTATAAGAGAAGTGAACTAAACCTGACTCTAATTTTAACCTTCAAATCAAGTTTTATCCATCAAAAAGCCTTTAAAAGGGAATAAAATGTTTTTAAAAAAAGCCAAAATGTTCTCACTCAAATGGTCTAAAGTACACGGACACAAACATGCACCACATACATTCTCCTCACTCTCCCCTATGCATTCATATGTTCAGCAGAGGAAGGTGGAGGCCAGTAAGTCAGTAAGTGCTCCTTTTCTCTCTTCCCATTAATAATGGAGAACCAGCATCAGCCTGGCAGAGAGGCGCAGAGCACAACCAGGAGGCGTTCTGGCCATTTACACCTATTATTTCTGATAAAGTCTCCATTTATCTTCACACTTTTCCTTTCATCTGCCCAAGTTTTACATGACTTAAATTCTACTTTCTTACTCACGAATCCCTTTAAAAAAAAAAAAAAAATCGTTGAGAACAATTCATAATGTAGTAATTGTAGTCATTTTTAATCCCTAAAAGACAGAGTACAAGGCTGCCGGTGGGTCCCTGAGTGGGTTCGTTTAAATTGCTGCGGTCTGGTCGGGTGTGAGGAGCATCACGGCCTCTGGGGGCCGCTAGCAGGGCTTTTAGACCGTCTGTTTTACGTTGGAA